TATCTACACGACGAGTCACGACGAGTAACATCCTTACTCCGTAGTGCCTCACAATGGCACCTCGCATCGAGGCTCAGGAGATCGAAACTTATTGGAACATATTCACAACCAGGACCAATGGCGGCAAATATCTAACGGGCGAGCAAGCGGCGCCGCTACTGAAGAACAGTGGATTACGGGACGACCAGCTTGAGCGCGTATGGGATGTGGCCGATGTAGACAACGATGGCAATCTCGACTTTGAGGAGTTCTGTGTAGCTATGCGCATCATCTTCGACATAGTGAATGGTGTAAGTTGTATACCTGGCTCTCTCCTTGTTTCACTCTTCCCCCGTCCCCAAGCACGTTAGACTGTACCGAAGCGAGCGGCTAACATGGGCTGGAATTCAACAGGAATACGCCGATGTGCCAGCGACGCTACCAGACTGGCTCGTCCCCGAATCTAAAGCCCACCTCGTCCAGGCCAACCGCGCCCTCACAGGCAAGCAGGTGCAGTTCGAACAAGTTGACGACGACTCGGATACCCCGGGGCTCAAGGATGGCTTCGATTGGTATATGAATCCCCAGGATAAAGCCAAGTATGAATCAATATACCAGGAGAACCGGGACATGCGAGGAGAAGTGGCCTGTAAGTCCTATTTTATTCTTCACCCCTTTCTATTATTCCACTCTAACAAGAGGTAAGGAGAGGTGAAGCAGCGAAGACTAATAAGGATGAGGAACAACAGTTAACTCCCTCGAGGACCTGTACGAATCCCTCGACGTGCCCGACACCGATATCCGATCAGCGTGGAACCTAATCAACCCGTCAGCCTCGTCCACCGTCAACAAGGACGCCTGCCTCGCCTTCCTTCACATCCTCAACAATCGACACGAGGGCTACCGGATCCCGCGCACGGTGCCCGCGTCCCTACGCTCCTCCTTTGAGCGCAACCAAATCGACTACCAGGTCGACAGCGCCCGCAACAACCCCGCCGCCTCGCGCTGGGCTGCCCGCGCCGACGAAAACACGTCCACCGGCCGTAAGGCCAAGTTTGGCGATCAATACCTGACGCGCCTCGGCCGCGGCGGCTTCAAGGCCTCCGGCACGGACTTCAGCTCCGCCCAGAGCGACGAGCAGTGGGAGGAAGTACGCCTGAAGAAGCAGCTACAGGAGATCGAGGACCGCATGGCGAAGGTAGAAGCTGATGCGAATGCTCGCCGGGGTGGCGGAAAGCGGGATACCAAACCTGCTCTCGTCAAGCGCGAGCTCGAGCAATTGCTCGACTACAAGCGTCGCGAACTAAGAGACATAGAAGAGGGCAAGGGGAAGGCGAAGACGGGGAGCAGCCTTCGTATTGTTGAGGATGATTTGCAGACGGTGCGGACGCAGATTGAGGGCTTAGAAGCGCATCTCTCTAGCCGGATGCAGGTTTTGGACCAGTTGAGGAGGGAGATTGAGGATGAGAAGGCGGGGAGGTAAGGAGCTACATATTTACCTAGATGGAGCAATATGTTGATGATGAGAGGGCAAGGAGGTGAAGATGAAGAGAATGAGAAGGATTTCCTCTCGTCTGAGACGAGAAAACGCTTGAGGGATGATAGATCCCCACGTGCGTCAGGCGGATAGCGAGCTACAATACCTAGTCTGTAATTCAAATGTACTGTACAAGTTTCCAGGTTCCGGTTCTATCACGAGAGGGTGAACTCGAGTTAGGTTGGCTATATTAAATAGGTAACAATTACAATAATAATCGTAAATCAGCATTTGGGTCGTTATCAGGTTTGAAGTTTTCGGAGTATTAGTAGCTACGGATGTGGCATAATTTTTAGCGGTGTGTATATCACAGAAGAAGAAAGAAAAGCATTAGGAATGTCATCTATTATCTCTATTATAAGACTACTGTCGAGAACCGATTCATTATTAAAAAAGGGGGGGCAGGGGTATCTTAGGGTACACATTACGGGTTCTCTCCTCGGCCCCTATTCATCACAAGCGAACTATCCGGCATATCCTTAAAGCAGTATCAACATCCTCGGATACTCTTGACTCTCAATCCCTCTAAAACCAAATTATCTCAAGGTAGGCCAGGTTCGAGAAACAGATATAGGTATTCGTAGTCTAGAAGGCGCTACCGTCGACGTAACCAGGTAGCGACTGGATACCGAGGGTTTTGCCCTTGATTATGTAGACCATGATGGAGAAGACTTTGACGGGGCCCAAACGGCCGGCTCCGCGACTCCGGCCAGTGGCTACCATGAGAACATCCATCGGAAGCGTCTTGACGGGGGTAGGTACCTTGCCTTTAAGGGCGAGGTCGATGTTCTTGGCGACACCAGCAGCCTTCGGGTAATAGTCAGTAAACATTGTCTGTTCATATATGCATCGTTTTCATCCCTGATACTAATTTAGGTAATTCAGGGATGTGTATAAAAGTAAGGTAACTTACCTGTTTATCCGAAAGCACGAAGCTACCACGGGGCTTCCACACAATATCGCCTGCTGCCCAGACGTCCTTGGTGCCTTTGACGCGGTAAAACTCGTCAATGTCGACGAATTTCTTGTCCGTCAGCAGGTCCGCGGGCAGGTACTCGGTGTTAGGCCGCATGCCCATGGTGGGCAGATACAAGTCCGTGAGGATCTTCTCGCCGCTTTGCAGCACAACTTCAGTCTTGCCCTCGGGCGTGGAGTGAGCCGCATCGACGCGGGCCGACTTGCGCACGTGCACGCCTAGCTTCTTCAGCTCGCCGGATACGTTAGACGCTAGGCTGTCGCCGCCCAGGATCTCCTCGTCGCCGGAGAGCAGGATGACTTCCTTCTCCTTGCCGTATTCAAAGGCAATCTCGGCGGCCACCTCGACACCCGTGCTGCCTGCGCCTGCAACTACGATGTGCTTCGCGGTCTTAACCTTGTCTTGAATTTGTGTCACGAGCCCGGTGACCTGCTCGTGCGTGCCGTTGCTCTTCCAGGGCACGGTGCCGTCGACGGCGCGCGTGCCTGTTGCTAGAACTAGATGGTCGTAGTTAAGCACGCGCTCGCCGCCATCACGCGTCGACACCTTGACCGTCTTGTCGATGATGTCGACGCCCTCAGCGCTGCCGACGATGAACTCGAAAGAGTCTGCCGGGTACTTGGCGAATCCTTTCTCGATGGGCTGGCTGTATTGCTCCTCCTTCAAGGTGCCCGGAACGATGGCACGCACGGATGCCATGTTCCAGTAGAAATGGCTGTTCTGCGACGAGGAGTTAGCAAAAGCCCCATTATTCCTATACAATTCAAATTCCAGGTTGAAACCAGGTGGATTTGCTAGAATTCAATGCGTTGCATATCCTGTGTGCATAGGTAGTATCCAATCACGTGGATCTTCTTATAGGAAGCCCAGCGTCGTATTGTTGTTTCCTAGCTTCGCCTTACTCCGAAGCTTGGTTATAGAGTGTAGAAACCAACAACAATAACATCAACGAGTCTGCTTACCTTGGAAACGAGGATAACTTTTAAATCCTTAACATGAGGTTTCGTATATTTCAGGAGTCTATGGGCAACACCGACGCCGGCGTAGGCGCCACCCAATACCACAATTGTCTTAGTCATGTTCGTTGGCGAAGTCCGGTTGCTAGTAGGAAGGGGTTATATTTTGGCAATAGTTAGAAAGGTTTGAGAACAGGACGAAGAACTTCGACAATGTATGGGAATAAATAAATAGTTTTAAGGAAGGAAAACCAAATACCTATGCTAAAGCAATGGCGAAGGAAACAACTCTCTCTAGTTTTCGGACGTGTCGAGATCCGGCAGGCAGTTGTGACTTATATACCTTGAGCTGTCGGTTTCACAGCAGGGAGGAACGGACCCTTATCATTCGATAGACTTTCACGCCTCAAACAACGGAGACCCCACTCATCAAGCCGAAAGGCCTAAGACCCAACCTTGGAAGTTATGTATTCATTTTCACATACCATCTACATAATACTACTATGTTTTGGTGGCTGCACAAAGAAGCCACTATTGGTCCGAGTTGGTCATACGAATTAGCTCGGAAACTTGAGATGAATAATATTCGTCTCATTGCTGACACAATGCAGTTTACTAGTACCGTATTTAATTTGTCAATATGCATTAGATTCATAGTCGTTTACAAGTAAAGGGGCGCTAAGGTTAAACAGCTATCCCAAGATTCCCAAGGCTTTGTAAAGTTTAGGTAGGCATTATATTCCCTTGATGTGTCTATCTACTACTGTCCGGCGGCCGTCCGAACGGCCGTTCCCCAAACTAGGCTTCAAAGAGTTAAGTAGAATACCACGACTAAGGTGCAATACCCCTTGATTAGTCTAATGATGAATAATCTGACCAATATAATGACAAATGCCATAATTGCTACTAGAGAAATCTCGAGTCTCAATTTTCTCTTGTCTTTTGTCTTTTTCTACATTATCCATCAACGCGCCCGACGTACATAATACTACTGTCCTCCTGGTCCGACGGCCGGGCCAGTCTTATTAGAGCTATCATTACACACAGCCATTTCATCTACGAAAGTGGAGGACTTTCTCGGTCCCGAGAGACTATTAGCACGAGGCTCTAAAAGTTTATGGGAGACAGACATCGGGCGCGATCTATTGGAGTCGAGACGGACAGGGGGGTTTCGTTCTCGTTGGCTTATTGGACAGCCTTATGAAATCCGAAGAAATGCTCCCCCATCTAGGAACTTTACCGAAATGGGATTGTACGTTGCAGGGACCTTTTGCATTAATTCGCGGGTTCTCATATTGAATGGCGTAACGGATTGTTTTCCATAGGAATGTGACAATATATTGGCCATAATTCAAGTGAGCTGAGCTCTACACCGACAGGGCCAGCTGGAAAGAATGCATCTGCACGATGGTGTATTTATTAACTAACTTGATACCAGGTAACGACAGAGCATATATCACTTTCCATAAGTCAACCCTTGGCCTGGCCATGTAAAGCAGTGTAATATAAATAAAATGTGCTCACCGAATCTAGACACTAGTCATATAGGCATGGTAATCATATATTACGAATATTAGCTAAAGTAGATCTTCATGTGATGCCGACAACAACGGGTAGAGACATAAATCTAAGTGGTTCGGAGACGGTACATATTTACACCGACGCACGAAGCCCCGGACCTTGATCTCGAGGATCTACCTTCTTCTGATAGATTGCGGGTCCCTGAAAGCAATGTCGCCAATTAGAAGCGGGTAGCACTTACATCACCCCGCGCAGCAAACGCATGACGAAAGTCGTCACGGCTGAAGCCATTGAAGCAATCGACCCCGCCAAAACCTATTTGACCTACTTGCAACCTAAGTTTCTAACATCATAAATAAATAAAAACACAATCAGGTACTGTAGCTCTCCCATAGATCTTTAGCTAATCCCATCCTATCTCTACTATATAAGGAAGTAGTTAGTAGAGTCTACAGCTAACACGGGATCGAATATTCTAGCCTTCAAAACACTCCAAAACTCTTACACTCGTCAAAATGGTCGACATCAGCCCTGCTTTCGCTAAGGCCCAGGAGGACTCCAGGAAGCTCACCTCCAAGCCTGGCAACGATGAACTCCTCGAGCTCTACGGTACTTACTCCTCTTCCTCTCTCCTATTACATGCAAATCACTTCTATATAGCTACCATCTCCTATAGCCCAAGAGCGGAGAATATATACAGTAAAGAAACTAACAATGGTCTCGTATAGGTCTCTTCAAGGTCGGCAACGGCGAAGACTTCAGCAAGGCCGAGAAGCCCGGCGTGTTCGACCTAAAGGTACGCGAACTCAACTCTCTCTCGTCTCTCCCTCACAGCCAATCCCAACACGCGGGATTCGCGTAGGACAACGGTAGTACACGCACAAACTAACTCGACCACGTAGAACAAGTACAAGTACCAGGCGTGGCAGAAGCTCGTCGACGAGGGTATCAGCCCCGCGGACGCCCAGGACCGCTACGTCAAGCTAGTCGAGACCCTGAAGGAGAAGTACGGCTTCGACGCGAGCAAGGAGCCCGAGGCCGTCAAGAGCTCTTAGATTTCGTATAGAGCTCTAGTTCAGTCGTTGCATCTATCGCGTTCTCTTCGTATTAGACTAGTCGATTAGCCCCGTGTTCAATAGCGATGTTAGGTACGCTCCGGTCTCGAAGGAGCCCTGGGGATTCTTCGCGGTTAGACTATGTGGGCAGCGATACGCTGCAGACGTTATAGCTATATAGATTAATCTATACCATCACGTGAACGTGCGGACGAGACTTCAAGATAATTGAGGGGAGTGATTTACAAGTAGATTTGTTGCATACTCGAGTTGCTCCTTTAACATAACCGGATGTTTCAAATCGGCCTTTAATAGCTCTACTACACGTCTTCCTATATTAATGTCTCCTATGTCTAATCCTTCCAAAAATGACCTATACAATCAGGTTCCGTATAGCTTGCCGTAGCTACCCACGGAACCTCACTATCTCCGTATCTCTGTAGAGGCAGGCTATACGGTATCCTTAGGCCAACCAGAGGCCCGTTCCCGTCGAGATCTTCTTTTGTAGGCGTATCCGTCTTAAAGGTACCAACCATCTTAGCTCCGTCCGCAAATAATTCAGGCCATACGAGGACGCCAATCTCCCACGAGGCAATTTGTATCTGCCCGGTGTTTGCGGCCTCACCCCAGGCCTGCTTTGATATGTTGGAGGATGTGAGCAAGGCCCAATCGATGGACCTGTTCTCGTTGTACCGTATGTAAGTCTTTATATGTGGCGCGGCACGTTTGCGTCCCCCATCTCGGATTTCGCCGTCTTCGACTGAGGTGTAGTTAGCTTAAACTGTTACAATGCACCTTAGAAACGAGCGAGTTAGACGTACTTATCCCCTTCTCGCAATCATTAGCCCAGTGGTAAAATATAGGTTTCATGTATTGAAGCTGCTTCGTTTGAGTTGCTGATTGTATCTTCATGTGTATAGAAGCACCAGAAGCGTAGCCATCTAAGGAACGTCTTATCTCATCAGGAGTAGGAAATATTATCTTGAATTTAGGCTTCGAGGAACTCGCTCTCGTAGATGATAAGGAGTCAAATAAGGTGTGTTTTAGCCAGGTGTCTGTTGCACCTAGAGTTGCAATGGATGATATTTGCACCACGATCTCTGATTTCCCCGACTGGACAGGGACAGGGCTGAGGGCGTGTTTAACACCTGCCCATCCCCAGCGAGTCTTCCTAGGATCATCTCCATTAATATCATGCCTTCCGGGTACGCTGGCAACTAGCGCTCCTCGTACGGCACCAAAGTCATATTTTTCCATTTCATCAACCATGGACTTGCATATCTGTCTTTTAGTATCGTAGGCTCGTAAGTAATTCAGCAAGTCGATTTTAAATCTCGGCCCGTAGCCAATACGCAAATCTGTTTCGGAAGACTTATGCGATTCTGTTAGGCGAGGGAGTCGTGGAGTTTGCCAAACGCCATTGGTCAAATTCGTCCAGTCCTTTGGAATCATGTTGGCTGTATATATAATAACCTGTGCTGTGTCGTCATGTCTAAATAACACAAGTATCTTCGAATGGTGGGTGCCGAATATCTCTGGCATGTATGCTGCATGAAGAGTGACATTTTTATACTGAGAAGACTGTTTCTATACTGGGTGTTAGTATCAATGCCTCACCTGAGTATAGAGTAAAACGACTTAAGCAAGCATTATAGATTCTCTAAACGGGGTTGGCATATGGCTAGGTACATAATTAAAACTAGGTATACAGCACACCACAATGCTTCTACGATACTTGGATTCAAGTTGAAAGTCAAGAAAGGGTATTCGTAAGTGAATACAGGGTGCTTGCTTTCAAGATGTCAATATGTAATACCAACTCCTCTCATCATATCACGACTCGCAACATTATGAATTATAGATGACTAGCTCATTTGCACACATAGTCTCATAAGGTACTGTGTAACCTGGGCTTTGAACGTAGTGCACGAAGCATTAGAGAATATGAGAGTAGGCTTACCTCAAGCGACAACCTATGAGTATCATCTCTCTTCCAGAATCCGTGTACAATATGAACTTTGACGAGCGATCTTGTATCCTCGTCAAAATGACTCATAAGAAAGTCCACATCGTGTAAGTAGTTGAACTCCCAGCACTCAGTTATCAGTGGATCGCCGAGAAGATCATGGAGGGAGACAGCTCCGACATTTGACTCTTCCGAAAGGTCCCTAATAGTGGTAAGCTTAAATGGGGACTCGATGAGTTTACGCTCGCGACTTCTCCTTTTCCTTGGAGGACTAATTGGGTGTGAAAGTGATGCTGGTATCTCATAGGACCTTTTCGTAATGTCATCCTTTTCTGTATTACTTAAACGGCGGCGCTTTGCTGAAGGTTCTGCCATGTCGAAAAACGGGAGTGGATGGGGGCTACGTCGTATCGGTGAAGTACAACGCGATTATCAAGATCCCCTCTAAAGGACAGGCTGAAGGGTATATGCACGTCAGCTGTGGTGGAGGAGGAGGAGGTTATACCTATGAATGCGCTAAGGCCGGAGACTTCAATGTTCGAAAAATATGCAGAAAGCCGGTGCTGATATCAATCAAGTTTCAAGCGTACTATGTAAAACAATCCCACAGGGCTGACGCGGACGGCTGATTTTGTGTTTAATGCTTCATAGCCAATGTCGCGATGGCGTAGCTTGGCAACCGACTGATCGCCGCAAATGTCCACTACTTTGAGTTATGTGCATAGCACAACAGATTACTAAATACGAGAGTATGCCCTGCTTTATTTAGCACCTGTTGAGCTAGATGAGATCTGGACGATGAAGAGAATAGAACGAAGTTATTTGTCAATTTTCAAGTTAGAATGGTATAAACATTTATATACTAGGTAATCTGGAACTTGTGACTGCCTTGTCTGTTCTATAAATATATGAATAGAAGTACCTAAGGTTATTCCGAGTTGAGACCTGATATGCCACCTTGCATTAGCCACATAGTATCTATCATCCCACCCATCGTGGCTAAGCACACTTTTGTTAGTGGTGTCCTTTTTAAGTATCACTACTGCTGTAAGGGGTCGTGTGGAGACTGTTGATAAGGTTAAGACACACTGTATAACAGGTAATTAAGAAAAGTATTACCAAGGTAGCTTTTGTTTGCCCCCGGCCATGAGTTGGCCTGGTACGGCTGTTTAGGTACGACGTGATACTCACCTTAGACTCTCCACACAGTCAACGGCACCAAGAGATACATAGCAGAAGGCGGTGCACTGTTTTCTGGCCTTACGGAAATGGTAGAGCGATAGTCTCGTTTCAACAATCCAATTTTCGCATCCTTCCCAACTTACGTGCTTTATCATCTTAGCCATAGAAGTGATACAGACGACTATTAGCGAACCTCGAGCCTATTGAATGAATCTCTTTTTTGTTTTTGCTCCGGGTTGGCTTTTAATTCTGCAGACGTAACCATCTGCTTTCTTTTTCCTAGTTATTCTCTTTTCATTCCTTGTTCATTTTCTTCCCACTGGACATATTCCGATGTACTGGAGCCGGTGACGCGCGACTCTCTTCGTTGCCCCTTTCTCCAAACACTAGACCGGAAAAAGCTCCTCGCCAACAACTTCAGTCCCTTCTCAAACCCCCTGTGCTGAGTCGCGCGCTTGGCCATCTTAATCAATATTCGATTGACGCGACGACTTTCCTCTCCTGCGTCGACGCTTTCCCTACTGTCATTGGTCGTTTAATCATCAACACGCTCGTTATTCGCGACAACGAATTACACCCTATTAGCCATGAGGCTCGCCTCTCTCGCGCTGTTTCTCGGCGCTGCCGTCCTCGGCACTGCGCAAGCAATTGGTTCGGAGACAAGTGATAGTCCTGACCGGGAGAACACATATTTTAATGGCAAAAGAGTACCTCCATTACTCGAGTTAACCCCCGATACCATCGATAAGGAGCTGAAACTTTCAAAATTCCTGGTTGTCAAATATTACAGGTGAGACCTTTTTATTTCTAAGCTTTGGCTTCGGGATTCCATACATTACTTTCCGATATATAATGATATGCTCCTCCAATGTTACTCCTTTGTAGTACGTCTTAGCAGTTTGCTTACGGTTTAATAGTCCGTTCTGTATTCACTGTATAGATTATGCGCCGACCTATCAGACTTTGTACGAATACTACTACACTTCCAAAGCCCCGAGCGACCCGGAATCAGGATCCGCTGCAACTTCCTTTGAGAAGTTTTACGATATCAGATTTGCCGAGCTAAACTGTGTGGCTTATGGCGATCTATGTGCAAAGCATGAGATCACTACATGGCCCGAGACCCGAATTTTCAAAGATGGCGAGATCGCTGACCGTGTCAATGGTGGTAAAGATATAACTGTCATCTCGAAGATGATCGAGGGCGCGCTCGAGAAGGAAAAGCCTGGTACTCGCCCCAAGGAGCTTTCGCTTCCCAAACCCGGTGCCAAATCATTTCCTGAAGGATCACCCGAGACTGAAGGAACTGCTGAGAAGACTGAGAAGGTCGAGAAGTCTGCGAAGGGCGAATCCGACGATGCTACTCCTGCAACTAAGTCTACGCCGGTGAAAGTGGACAGCGTAAAACCATCCAAGCCGACCAAGACCCCCAATGAGCAAGGGATTTCCGTATCCCTGACGGCCGAAAGTTTCCAGACTCTTGTAACAATGACCCAGGAGCCGTGGTTTATCAAGTTCTATGCTCCTTGGTGTCATCATTGCCAAGCTATGGCTGCGAATTGGCAGCAGCTAGCCAAGGAGATGCAAGGCAAACTCAACATCGGTGAGGTCAACTGCGATGTGGAATCTAGGCTATGCAAGGACGTCCATCTTCGAGGTTATCCCAGCATTCTGTTCTTTAGAGGAGGCGAGCGTGTTGAGTACAATGGCTTGCGCGGACTTGGCGATTTCCTTCAGTATGCCGAAAAGGCTTTGGATATTTGCACTGGCGTTCAGGATGTTGATGCGTCGTCTTTCAAGGCCCTCGAAGAGAAAGAAGATGTTATCTTCGTCTATTTCTACGACCACGCCACCACAGCCGAAGACTTCATGGCCCTCGAGAGATTGCCTCTCAGTCTGATCGGACACGCCAAGCTGGTTAAAACAAAGGATCCCGTACTCTACGATAGATTCAAGATTACGACCTGGCCTAGATTACTCGTCTCGCGGGAAGGACGACCTACGTATTACACACCCTTGACCCCTAGAGAAATGCGCGATACTCATCTGGTTCTTACTTGGATGAAGTCTGTCTGGCTACCTATCGTCCCAGAGCTTACTGCCTCGAATGCACGTGAAATCATGGATGGAAAGATCGTTGTCCTAGGAATCCTAAATAGGGAAGACCAGGAGACATTCTTAAGCGCCAAGCGCGAAATGAAGCGTGCCGCAAACGAGTGGATGGACAAGCAAATACAATTATTCCAACTAGAGCGACAGAACCTTCGTGACGCTAAGCAGCTCCGCCTCGAGGAGGCCGAAGACCGCAATGACCAACGGGCTCTACGGGCCGCTAAAAGTATCCGGATCAGCATGGACATGTCTGACCGTAAAGAGGTTACATTTGCCTGGGTAGATGGTGTCTTTTGGCAAAGGTGGATCCGAACCACTTATGGTATCGATATCAAGGACGGTGAGCGGGTAATCATAAACGATGAGGACGTAAGTTTAAGCCTGAATGATCGTTTCGTTACATTGTATTAACTTGATTATAGAACCGACGATACTGGGACATGACCATCACGGGCAGCCCCATTGTCCCCTCGCGTGTATCGATCCTAGAAACCATCTCGAAGGTCACTGCTTCTCCTCCGCTAATTAAACCTAAGCTCACGATTTCGAGCTTCGAGAAGATCTTCTTCGACATACGAGTCACCTTTACCGAACATCCGTATCTCTCCTTCGGCTGCATAGCAGGAATTGGTCTTGGCTGCGCCTCATGGTTCCGGGGACGAATCCGGAGGAACCGTGGCCACTTCCGCCTCGAAGACAACCTTCCTATCAAAGAAATAAAGGAGGGTCTCCTTGGTAACACAGCTAATGGGAAGAAGGACTGAATAAGCATTTTCAGGCGGGGAAATAAATATTTGAAGCATTGGCATTTGGGAAGACATGGGTTACTGGAGTTGATATTTACCCAGCGGGAGTTTCTGTATACTACTCTCTTGTGTCCTCGCGCTTGAACAGGCGACCCATACAATTGCCCATCGTCATTTTTTCTAACATATGGTGTCTTGGTTATGGACACGTTCTACATTAGTATAGAAAGCTACGGCGCGTCACGAAGCTTTGGGACTACGGAAACGAAACGAAGGGGTGGCGGAACGGAGTAGCTGAGGGTGAAAAGACGAGAGTGGTCAGGATAGACCGAACTCTCTTGTGTTTCTATCATGATAGCAGAGACAAATGCATCCTCATAATAATATCCCTTTACTATTTTGATATTAATCTGCTGCGTCTTGGTTTTAAATGATTGGGTTATCTCTATGCTTAACGTCTACGCAGGATTTTATGAGCAGCGGTGCCAATTATGATCGATAAAAAGTCCAGCAGGATGATGATATCGTAATTCAACGCGGGTTATTCTTTTTCAAAGTTGTCTATCTATCTGAAAAACCAGGCAGACAACAAGATGAGCTCGCCTTTCTATAGCTAAACCTCTCATCTAGGGCGCAATCTATACAATTGTCCGACCGGGTACATCTTAAGTGTAGATCTTATCTGTGAAAGCATTCAGACTAAGTCCGTTCTTCGCGAGGTCCTCGACTTCGATCAAGAATTCAAGAGGCATCTCAACCAGTGTGCCGCGCACACGGCTTAGCCAATCCTTGACCTCGGCAACACCACCGGGGAACTCCTCGCGCACGACGTGGCCGTACTCAACCTTGCTCTGCTGCTGCCCCTCCTCCTCCTCGTCGCGCTTGTGCCTGCGCTCATTCTCCTCCTCGCTGCCGGGGATCGAAAAATGGCGGCTGAAGAAGTCGTCGTACTGCTCCCAGGTACGCACTTGGTCGTTCGGCACCGGGTGGAACACCTTGCTGAAGACCTCGGTATTGGTGCGCGCCGTCTCCGTCCACAGCCGCCAGAAGTCCTCGCTCATCGGGTCTTCGACCAGCCTGTCCGACGGCGACCCCCAGTCGTACTGCTGCGGGTCCCGGTCTACGGGCGTCCAGTTGGCGTCGGGTTGGTCCCAGCGCTGGTCGGGTAGTAGGCCGAGGTGCTTGCGGTAGAGCTGGCGGCGCAGCGACGTCGCGAAGCGGGACGCTGTGAACGGGCGCCCGTTCATGCTGCTGTCGATGGGCTCTTGGTCTTCGATTACGACGGCGATTTCGGAGTCGTGGGTCCCGAGTTGGCTGCGGTCGTTTAGGTTGGCTGAGCCGCAGATCACGAGGCGGTCGTCGGCGATGAGGACCTTGCTGTGGATGTATAGCTCCTCGGACACGAACGCGTTCATCTCGTCCTCTTCGCTGCCGTTCCAGGGGACGTCGCGGATGTCGGGGCCGCCTTCCATGTAGCAGCTAGACACGGTGTCCCAGGTGCTGTCGTCGACTTTGGAGGCGGCGGATTGGTAACGGTCGTAACTGCCGTCGTCAGGTCTCCCGTTGTCATCGCCGTAGCGGTAGCCCTGCTCCCTGTCGTCGTGTTCGCGACGGGCATCTTCGTAGGATACACCGCTGTCTTGTTCGGCTTGTCTTAGAGTAGAAGATATGTTGATGCGGTCGTAGTTACGCAGGTTGTAGAAGCCGATATAGCGGCGCCAGTCATCCACGCCCTGCTGTTGTAGGGACTCGATGATGCTGTGACCACCGCGGTTGATACTGTTGTATTGCTGTGATAATGAGTTAGCGGTTGCTTTTTTAACTAGTTTCAAGGTGTTACA